CACCCTTGTATGTTATTGTGGAAACCTTAGCCTGATTAATGGGTTTACAGAGACGGTCGCTGCCTCGACCCCAGCCACAGCTACGTGGGGTAGATGTGAAAGACATCACCAATTGTCTTTATTTGAAATACAATGTTAGAAGGAATTATTCCAAATGGTCGAATTGGCATTACATCAACGGCTGCTTTCTGAATTGTATCACACTTACTTTTTGCATTATTATTATTATTATTATTATTATTATTATTATTATTATTATTATTATTATTATTATTATTTATTATTATTATTATTATTATTATTGTGTCCGTATTTACTACCAAGAACTTATTTACACAAACTCACAATAAGAAAACTGACTAATTGTTTTGTCATGCTTAAAAATTAGGCATCAATCGACCTCCAGAAAAAAAATATCCGTGTATGTGTTTTACCACCAAGGTTAAGACACACACAATAACACACGTTGACTTGTGTTAATATATACTAATATGGTAGTAAGTATTGAGTTAGTGCCGTAATGTTATATTTAAGTTAACCTCTGCTGTTTTGGTTATGTCAGAGTCTGATAGTTCTACCGTTTTACTGTTGCTGATTGTACTTCTCTGTTGCTCTTTATTGTTATTTGTGTCTGTTATTGTTGTTCTTTGTCTGTTATTGTTGTTCTTTGTCTGTTATTGTTGTTCTTTATGTCTGTTATTGTTCTTTGTCTGTTGTTCTTTGTTTGTTATTGTTGTTCTTTGTCTGTTGTTGTTCTTTTTTATTGTTCTTTGTCTGTTGTTCTTTGTCTGTTATTGTTTCTTGTCTGTTATTGTTGTTCTTTGTGTCTGTTATTGTTGTTCTTGTCTGTTATTGTTGTTCTTGGTCTGTTATTGTTCTTTTTGTCTGTTGTTCTTGTCTGTTATTGTTGTTCTTTGGTCTGTTATTGTTGTTCTTTTTGTCTGTTGTTTTGTTGTTTTTTGTCTGTTATTGTTGTTCTTTGGTCTGTTATTGTTGTTCTTTGTGTCTGTTATTGTTGTTCTTTTTGTCTGTTATTGTTGTTCTTTATGTCTGTTATTGTTCTTTGTCTGTTGTTCTTTGTCTGTTATTGTTGTTCTTTGTCTGTTATTGTTGTTCTTTATGTCTGTTATTGTTCTTTGTCTGTTGTTCTTTGTCTGTTATTGTTGTTCTTTGTCTGTTATTGTTGTTCTTTGTCTGTTATTGCTGTTCTTTGTCTGTTATTGTTCTGTGTCTGTTGTTGTTCTTTGTCTGTTATTGGTGTTCTTTATGTCTGTTATTGTTCTTTGTCTGTTGTTCTTTGTCTGTTATTGGTGTTCTGTTTCTGTTATTGTTTCTCTGTGTCTTATTGTTGCTTTTTTTGTGTCTGTTATTGTTGTTCTATGTTTATGTTATTGTTCTATGTGTTGTTATTGTTCTTTGTGTCTTATTTTTGTTCTTTGTTATTGTTGTCCTTAGCTTGTGTTTTTATTTGTCTGTTATTGCTGTTCTTTGTGCCGGTTATTATTGTTCTTTGTGTTATTTGTGTTTTGTCATTGTTCTTCATTGTTTCTGTTATTGTTATTACTTGGGTGGAAAATGTGGTGGTGGTGGGTGGAAGGCATGGTGGCGAGGAGGGCGGCGTGGTTGTAAGGAGGTGGGCGGGGAGCAGGAGGTGGGCGTGGTGGCGAGGAGGTGGGCGTGGTGGACAGTAAACTATCCTGGCGTATTGTGTGGCAGGTAGAGTACTGTACATTCCTCACCTCTATTACTCCTTCCTCTCGCACCTCCCTCACTCATCTCTCACCTCCCTCACTCATCTCTCACCTCCATCACTCCTATCTCATCTCCCTCACTCTCTCCTTCACCTCCTCTTCTCTACCTCCCTCTCCCCCCTCATCTTCCCCTTTTTTCTGTTTTATATACTTATATTTACTCGTTACTGTTGTTGTTGGCTGTAAGAGCAATATGTATGTTGTGTATTTGCGTATATTTACGTATCCGTCTTTGTGTATTTGTGTATATATATATTCATGGCCGGCTTTGTCTATGTTACGTATATGTATTCAAGGACATCTTTATGTGCGTTTTCTATTTAAGTATGTATGTGTGAGTATATATTCATGAGTACCTTGTATTTAGCTGCGTGTCGTACTGTTTGTTTAATGTATATATGTATATTTTCATAATTATGTATTTAAGTGTGTAAAATTGTCTGTTTGGCTAGGTTAGGTTAGGTTAGGTTAGTTTTAAGTTAGGTTAGGGTAGTTTAAGTTGAGTTGGCTTGGTTTAAGTTGGGTTGGCTTAGTTTAAGTTGGGTAAGCTTAGTTTAAGTTGGGTTGGCTTAGTTTAAGTTGGGTTAGGTTAGCTTAGGTTAGGTTAGGCTTGACTTGGCTTGGCTAGGTTGTGTTTGTCTCAGCGCTACATCCTTGATATGCACTCCTCCCTCCCTCCCTCCCTTCCTTCTTCGATACAGTAGCCTACAATTAAAATAAATAATCCTATATATACGTCCAGGTACCTTGATTGTCATTTGTTTTCGTATGTTTATTTAATTATTTACTCGTTTTTGCAATTTTCATAGCGTGAATATGATAATTAAAGTACCTGTTTTTATTATCGTGTTATTATTTACGCTGGTCTGTTATAGATTTAAAAATTTCACGGATAAAAACATTGTAGAAATAGAAGACAAAAAAGTGTAAGTGTTCGTTTTTCCAGTTTACCACAATTTATGTAGAAAATTATTCAGTTTTCTAGAATAGTTCTGGGGAGCGCGTCATCAGACTCCACTTAAACGGGAACCACTGACACTCCCCCCCCCCCCTCCCCGCCCCTCGACCTAAAATGACTGTAACTCCGGGACCTGTCATAACACACTCACACCAAGATTCAAATTACTCCATTCACTCTACAGCAAGTGGGGAGAGCTGGACAAGTGTCACTGATATTTTTGCCTTGATCTTTTCTGGTCCGCGTATAAAAAGCTTTATTCTTACGTCACTTATTTCACCTCTGTCCATGTCTCTTGCTCCCTACCTCCATTTAGTTCTTCCTTGGTGATTGTTAGATTATACAGTCGCCAATGTTAACTTTACCAACAATTTATTAATATAACGTAACTCAAGCACGAGCGGGATAGTTGTTACGAAGTTAACTGTCTCATGACCACAGAGCCGGATTAAGGGGTTGAGGGGCCCTGGGCGGCACCTAGCAGTGGGGGGTCCCCTGCTGACAACTGAAAATAAATATAGGTAATATCCAAGGTCAATAAAAACAATAAAATTTAGTAATAATGACACATTTACAGATTATTTATTCCATTCAAAGAAAGTGTATACATTCATTTACAAATGCACTTTTCGAGATTTTTTTCTAGCAAATGAACGTATCACATTGTTAAAAGAAAGTTCTCTTGAAATGTCTGACTCGGTGCTTAATAGCATCAGATTGTTGAGTCTCTCCTGGCACATCGTGGTCCGCAGTCTGTTTTTGATCAGTTTCATTTTTGAGAAGGAACGCTCCCCGGTAGAATTGGAGACCATTAACACCAGAAATATCCTCAAAACAGTTTCTACATTTGGAAATGCTGATTGTAAGTCATCGTTTTCCTTTATTATTCTGTAATAAAACGACTCATTGGGCTCATCCGCGGATTTTGCATACAACTTTACCAGAGACGTGAATTGAATCATTTAATTGGAGATGTTTTCAGCAATATCTTTTCCATAAGTTTGCAGAAGATTTTCTGAAGCAGAATGAATGGCATCGGCTGACATGGTTTCCAGATTGCTTAAAAAGCCGAAGCGATCCTTCACCAACGTGTATGGAGAAATCCTTTCGTTTAGGGATACCACTAGGTGATCAATGACTGTGAGGAAGCATTTTGTTCGGAAATTGTCTCTTGGACTGAGATCCACTTCACTTGAACGTCCATAATCCAGTGGAGCGAGCCGTACGTTTGATCGCCTCTGACGACCTGAATGGACAAGCTCGTGCTTCCTGCCAGATCATTTGCTTTTTCCTCATAGGCATCAAAAATGTCTCGCTTTCTTTCAACGAAACATTTCACGGAAACCAGCGAATTTACTGCTGATTGAAGAATTAGCTTTGGATCTTGAAGTTTGTGTGGTGAAGTGTTCACTTATTTATACAGCCTTTTTATTATTTTATTATAATCTCTGTGTTAAATAAGTTAAATCAGTTTAACAAACATAAGTTTTAGTAAGAAATATTTGTGGCGGCCTAGTGGAGTTACGGTAAGTGGTGCACAACGAGTGTTAGGCAATCTGTTCCACTTGTTTATCGCTCTGTGGTAAAGGTTTTTAAAACTTTATTTTTACAATGTTGTGAGCGGGCCCTAGATGTGGGGGGCCCTGGGCGTGCGTCCGGTACGCCCTCCCCATAATCAGGGCCTGCATAACCACAGCTGCCACCGATTGCTTAAAGTTGTAATGGTCATTGGCTGTCTTAAGGTTAGACGATCGGTGATTGGTTAAGGGAGAAGATTACTTTGAAGCATTGAACCAATCATCGAACGTCCCACCACCAACTGTGTAAGATTCACCTTTGATCTAATGAAACAAGACTGGCCTTACCCTTCTCTCCGTACGCGAACCTTTGGCCTCCTACCCTCCATACTGACTTCCTATCCTACCCTGACCTCCTGCCTTAACCTAAACTCCTGCCTTAACCTGACCTCCAGCCTTAACCTGACCAACCTTAACCTGACCTCCAACCTTAACCTGACCTCCTGCCCTACCCTGACCTGCCCTACCCTGACCTCCTGCCCTACCCTGACCTCCTGCCCTACTCTGACCTCCTGCCCTACTCTGACCTCTTGCCCTACTCTGACCTCCTGCCTTAAACTAACCTCCGGCCTTAACCTGACCTCCGGCCTTAACCTGGCTTCCTTCCTTTACCTAACCTGACTACTTAACCCTGACATCCACCTCACCTACCCCTCCCCCCCCACCATGGTCTCCTAATTAAGCGTGTCCTCCTAATCTTCTTCTGGCAGTTCTCCGGGATGACACACCGAGGCACCATCAAGCAGAGCTACGGCGGCGTGGGCAGGAACCTCGGGGACGCCCTGGCACGTCTACACTGTCGCCCGTTCCTCATCTCGGCTGTAGGGGATGACAACTACGCCCGCGCCCTCACCAACCATAACCCTCTGCTGGTGAGTACTGTGAGGAGGATGGGTGTGAATGGGGGAGTGAGAGGAGGGATGGGAAGAAGGGAATGGCAAATGAGGGAGGAAGGGAATGGGATTTTTTTTTTTTTTTACGGTCATTAACCCACTTAGGCACAGGTCATTTTTAATGACCCACATCAAGGCCTTGGGGGCGAAAGTATAATAAAACAACAACAATAATAATATTAATAATAATAATAATAATAATAATAATAATAATAATAATAATAATAATAATAATAATAATAATAATAATAATAATAATAATAATAATAAAATTAATAAAAATAAATAACAATTATAATAAAATAAAATATTAATATTAATAAAAATTATAAATAATAATAATAATGAGCCATAAATAAATTTAAAAAAAATGAAAAAATATTAAGAGTGAGAAATACTGTATGTATGTTGTGTTGTCAAAGTAAGAGAAACAATTGAGACCCTGCAATTAAGTGTAAATGAGGCAGAAAGTCAGATCAGCAACCTGGGACTTGGTCACAATTTTCGTGATGCCATATGGCAGCAGGGTCTACCACTAGACAACACATTATGCTTCCAATATCTTCCCAGGCGGTAGTACCTCCCTGTTTGGTAGCTGCCTACTACCTACTACCTATAAATGAGGAAGGAAGGGAATGGGAATGGGGGAGGAAGGGAATGAGGGAAGGGGGAATGTGGGAAGTAGGGCAGGTGGAATGAGGGAAGAAGGGAAGCTAAGTGTAAATTTAAACCAGTCACTCGAGCATGAAATATGTCCTTACCTGGAGACATGACGGTAGAGGATGACCTAATAACGAGATCTGAGGTTGACGAGTTCCACAACAATTTAAATAATGAGTTACTTAATGCACAAAGGCAGAACATACCATACAGAAATCTCAGATCAAACAACAATGACCCGAAGTGGATAAATAATTATTTAAAGAATATTATTGGACAAAGGAAGGCTATAGGTAGGAGGATAAATCGTGGTGAAGTTTACCTCCGAGATTATTATAAAGTATTGGCCGGTAGGGTTAAGACCGAGATAAGAAAAGCAAAGAGGAATAATGAACTGAAGGTAGCAAGGGAGGCGAAGTCAAACTCTAAGGGATTCTATCACATGTATCAAACTAAAACACAAGAAAAGATTGGACCAATACAATTAGATACCTGCGAGCTAACTGAAACGACGGAGAAATGATCAAATAATCTGAAGAAATATTTTTCAACAGTTTTCACCACCGAAATTTTAAACATGATACCTGAGGCACCGACTCTATACAGAGATAGTGAAGAAAATAAATTAAGTGAGATAGCGGTGACTAGTAACGATATTAGTAAGCAAATAGACAAGCTAAAGCCTAATAAGTCACCTGGTCCCGGTGAGATATTTGCCAGTGTATTAAAGGAATGTAAGGAAGAGCTTAGTATGCCCTTAGCAAAATTGTTTAACATGTCCTTAAAAACGGGTGTAGTACCAGAATCCTGGAGAATAGCAAATGTAATACCGATTTTCAAGAAGGGAGATAGATCACTATCCTCTAACTACCGCCCAATCAGTCTAACATCGATTGTACGCAAATTACTGGAAGCAATCATTTCAAACTCTATTCGAAATCACCTGGAGAAGCACAAGTTGATCAATGATTCCCAATATGGCTTCACAAGCGGGCGTTCATGTCTAACTAATCTATTAACATTCTTTTCGTCTGCTTTCGATTCAGTGGACAAGGGGCACAATTATGATGTGGTATATCTCGACTTTAGCAAAGCCTTCGACAGAGTCCCCCACGAAAGACTAATAAGAAAAGTGGAGGCTCATGGCATTACAGGAGATATTCTAAAATGGATTAGGGCGTGGTTATAGAACAGGAAACAGCGAGTGAGCATTAACGGCATTAAATCCGATTGGAGCAACGTCACTAGTGGAGTTCCCCAAGGCTCAGTACTTGGACCATTTTTATTTATTATATACATAAACGACATAGATATCGGCGTAGACTGCAACATAAGTAAATTTGCTGATGACACTAAAGTAGGGCGTGTAATTAAATCTGACGAGGACTCCGTAATACTACAGGAAGATCTAAACAAAAAAATTCGAATGGTCTGAAAAATGGCAGATGAAATTTAATGTGGACAAATGTAAAGTACTCAGCATAGGAGATGTAAACAGGGAAACCAGATATCAGATGAACAACGATGTCATTAAGAAATCCGACTGCGAGAAAGATTTAGGAATAATGATAATTAGGAATCTTAAACCAAGTAAACAATGTGTATTTTCTCGAAACAAGGCTAATAAAGTACTTGGGTTCATACAAAGGAGTGTTAGTTACAAGACTAGCGAGGTCATCTTAAAACTATATCTTGCGCTTGTGAGACCTCGCTTGGATTACAGAATGGATATAGAATCCTAGGAAAGAATTTAGAGGAGAATGACAAGACTAATCTTGGGCATTAGGAACCTTGAGTACAGAGACAGGTTAAAGCATCTTAATTTGCACTCCATCGAGAGACGTATAGAGTGAGGGGCGATATGATAGAGGTGTATATATGGAAGTCAGAGCTGAACAAATGGGACATTTCAAAGGTACTCAAACTATGCAGCCAGGAGCGAACTCGTAACAATGGTTTTAAATTAGGCGTGAAATAGGTAAACATTGGTTTGGAAATAGAGTAACGGACGAGTGGAACAAGTTACCAAATATCATCATTAACTCGAATACGCTGGATAGCTTGAAACAGGTTGGATGGATAATATGAGCAATAGGGGTTGGGTGTAAATGGGACTGCCCAGCATGGGCCAATAGGCCCGCTGCAGTTTCCTCCATTCTTATGTTCTTATGTCATAGTGACCTACTTTTAATTGTGTGTTGTAGGAGTACACTTGTCTTTTATCTAGTTACGCGACTTGCAACATCAACAGTTGCCGGAGAAGTAAACATGGCGCAGTATTTCTTTAAGTCAAAAAGCGGCCCATGAATCATTTCAAAACGAGCTGACAACTGCAAATATCCAACTATATCCAACGTTCATAAATATTAGGTCTATGGAAAGTTAATAATTTTCGTCCTTGCAGACCTTCTCAGTCGACAAAAGACAATGTATCTCGTGTAAAATGTGGCCGATTAATGCAAAGACCGATGATCTTGGCCACGCTTTTCTAAATCTTATCTCCATGCAAAATTAACTAAGATACGCACATACAGACCCCAAGGACACGAGAAACACAGTGATGAAAGCAGGTGCAGGAAAATGAAAGAAGAGCTCATTTGTAGGAGATTTTTTTTTCAATTTAAGGAAGGAGCCAGGCAGTGACTCGCCAATTCAGCCGAGTCTTCTATATCCTGTCATACGATTTATATGTAAATTATCCAATATTTTCAGGAAACAAAAACATGATGAAAACTTCGATTATCGCATCCCTAAAACTGGTGGGTGGTGTCAGGAAGGGCGAATTAGCTCCACCTCTACTGGGAAGACTTAAGATTTCGACGGAGGGCGGGAGAGATGCCTTTTTGGCGTTGGGAGATTTATCATCTTGGCGTGAGGGAGATATCTTCTTGTCGCGGAGAGATTATCTTCTTGGCGTGGGACTTGGAGGCCAATTCATTTCAGCTGACAGACAAAAGGCATCGAGAATTAACTGGCATAGACGAGACCCAGCATCTAAGATTATGTAACTTGAAACTTAATTTGTACGCTTGCCTCGTAGGTGTAGCCACATCTATTACAGAATTACAAACATCGGGTTCAGAATTCACCATATAACAGAAGGATAACTTTCATCGATAAGTTCATATCTTTCAAGCTTACTCTTCAAATTTCTACTGCTATAGTCGGGATTTGGATATGATATATGATTCAGGCTGGATATATAGGTTAGACATATAGTCAGTTTCACCACTTTCTTCTGGTCCATAATATCCTTTGTCTGTGATCTGGCATACACCCTGAAATGTTTCTCTGTGAACCTCAATAATGCTAGTTTGTGTCTTTGGTCCTTCATCAATTTTCATTCAATAGGACTTATGGTACTTGCTTTCATGGGCATATAGGTCTAGTCTCTTGTCCTTTTATCAGTCTCAATAGTTTTTCATCACATCTGTCCTCAGCTGTAACTGCCACATTTCTCCATACATAATCAAACCCAGATAGACCTAGCATCCAAGCTCCTTTAACCTCTACTTTCTTCATACCTTCAGAATTACAAAAAATACAATATGGTTGGAAGATGACCTGGTCGCCTAAACTTCTGCAACTAATTCGTATAAGATTTATTGATTCACACACGTCATCTGATGGTTCTTTTAAACGGTCCATATTCATACAAAACCTTTGATAGCATTTCCTATGCATGGTGTCTCGAGAGAGTTTCAGGGATCAGATCACATGATTCCTTCATCTAATGACTAATAAACACGGTTGTGCCAGCCTTTTCCTCTTGATGTTCTGCAGTTTAGCCTACGTATTTTCTGGGTCGCTGATGCTAAACAGAAGTTGTATAGGTCCATTTTTGAAGCCTGGTACATGAACTATGCACATTGAATTTATCTGTTGGTCCTAGGATCTGTCCTAATCACGTCTTCGATTATGTGGTGGACGTTTCTCCGTTGCAGGAGATGATTCGGTAACATCAGACATCATCAAGAAGTCTCATTCTAGAAGGACAGAAGGAAAGATAAGAGGAAGTATTGTAATGAGAAGAATCAAATTGCATGGAAGAATTAACGAAACGTTTCAAATAATCTATCATATGTGGAATGACTACTGCGTTGGCGAGCAGTAGGCTACGTTTTCTTGGCAGCACCCATATGTTTCAAGTGTCATAACTCCTTTTCCAGTATTGATAGAAATATGATTTTGATGTTTAAAGAAAGATGAACTATAAGAGAATATAATGATGTACACTATGAATGGACGCCGTTCAGTAAATCATTGCAGAATAAATTAATACGACTAAATTATGGGTTTCGTCAAGAATTCACAGAGGG